CTTCCCCCTTCTGTGACGAACCTTATATGAATCTCTTAGAATCCTCCTTGTAAAGAAGGAGCTAACGGGCCACTAGACTGATAGCTGGGAATACAGCACGGGACTGACTCAGGCCCCCCTGAATATGGGTCTCAGCCAGAAGTACTGAGCAGTCTAAGGGACCTCAGACAGTGGAACCAGGATATATTCCTGCTGCACAAAAGAACCTTGTGGACATATCCCCCATGGAGGGATACTGCCTTAACCTAGAGACAGGAGAGAAGTCCTAATCCCTACTTCAAATGACTTGACAGATTTACATGACCCCACCTGGATGGCATTGCCCTACATGTGGAATTGGGGTGGGGAGATGGGAGGCGAGGGTGGTGAAGATGCATGTGAGGGGACAGAGAGGGTAAGAGGGAGGGAGGGAAGGAGAAGGAACTGGGATCGACATGTAAAATAAATAAATAAAAATTTAAATTAGGAAAAAAAGAGAAAAAAGAATCCTCCTTGTATCCTAGTTCCTCTGGTGGTGTGAATTATAGGCTGGTGGTCCTTGGCTCTATGTCTAAAATCCATATATGAGCAAGTACATACCATGTTCCTCTTTTTGTGACTCCATTACCTCATTCAGGATGGTTTTTTCAAGTTCCATCCACTTGCCTTCGAATTTCAAGATTCCATTGTTTTTTGTTTATTTGTTTGTTTTGTTTTTTTCCATAGAGTAGTTGTTTCTTAACAGATGCCCTATAGTTCTACCCTGGATTTTATCTTTTCCCAGAAGTCATTTCTTGGTTTAATAACTTTTGTCACCTACAAAGACTGGGAAGTGAAGAGCAACTTCAATTTCAAACCCAATAGCTACTGCCACATTTATAGTTCTAGTTTAACTTGAAAGCAGGTGTGTTCCTTTCTTTAGCTCGGACCCTTCCATGTTAGAAATGGTGAGGTGGCTCTGGGGCTAAGTTGAGACATATTCACTGAACCTTTGTGTTCATTACACAACATCATTTTAAAAACTTCCTGTAGCCTCATAACAAGAGCCCTTTTCTCTAGCTTACAGGGACATTTCCCTCCTTCTTATAGACTCCCTCTGGTAGCCTCATAGAGGCTCTGAAGGCTTCTTGTTGGGCAGTACTTCAGGCCTGGGGGTTGTCACTCATGCTCCCCACTAGACCTTTGCAGCATCAACCCACCCTCCAGTTTCAGAACCAAAGCCATGTATTCTGGGCTTTGTCATGACACCTGACAGTTCTTTGTCATACACCTGACACGTGTATATTTCACTGTGTTATGTTTACATGTTGTATTTTACTGTGAAACCAATAAATACAAAACTGGGTAGCTTAAAACAAAACATTTATTTATCTCAGAAGTCCATGATTCTGGTAGAACTCAGCAGAGAAAGTTGCCTCCACTCCATATAACATCAAATAGTAGCTTGATTGGAGAATCCATTTCCATGATGACTCACTCATAGTCAGGCAGGCTGGCAGCAATGGTTAGACAGATGGCGTGAAGTCAGAGCTGCAGGCTTGAGCCATAGTTCCTTTCTTTGTTGGCCTCCTCACAGGCTGGTGTCTAAGGTGGTATCTTAAGAAACTGAGGCAGAAGCCACGTCTCTTATGACCTAGCCTTGGAAATGAAACAGGATCACTTTCAACTATAGTCATGGGCTCCCCAGATTCAAGAGAGCTTAGAGACTATGTTTCTACATTAAAAATGACAGGATCACACAGTAAGAGGAGTGAAATGGGTATACAGGCTATCCTGGACAATATAATACACTGCATATTAGAGGAACACTAGAGTAACTGTCGGCCTTTAACAATGTGGGTTTTTTGTTGTTAAAATAAACATCAATCTACCTCCATTTTTCTAGAGCAGTAGTTGTCAAAGGTTAGATACTACATCTGGTATATGATAAAATTCTATCATACATGGCAAGATGAGAAAGGTAAATCTAACCAAGTTCTAACCATCATCTAAGCCTAAATGTGGCTTAGAATGAAAATAACAGCAACAAAGAAGGGTGCCTGGCCTCTTCCCAGTGACCCCAGTGTGGATGTGCACAGAGCATCCTGAAATACGTGTGTTAAAAGGGCCAAGCACAGATCCCTTTCTCCTGCCAGCAGCGAATACTCAGGGTGTCTCGCAGATGGGCCAACATTAATGTTGCCACTAAAGGAAAAGTAAAGTAGTGAAAAGATCTCAAAGTGAGATTTGGGGAAACATTTAAACCAAGATTACTTCAATGCTGTGTCAAGGAGGACACCACCTGGGGAGTGTTACTCTGAATGGCTTTCTTGTTTCCTTTCTCCTACTTTTTTTGCTGTTAAAATATCTTTTGTTACAAAATAGTGATAAAGGGCAGAAGTTATTTTAATAATGTTGTATTAATATCCTGCCTTTATATTTTTACTAAATGAAGCAAAAAACCTAGGGAACTATCATCATTGAATTAGCCTTTGACTACCTTTCAAATACTGTGGAGGCATTCCTGAATTGTTAGCATGTGCTTTTAAAAAAGTAACTACTCTATGCAAGTTCAGAAGACACCATGCAGCTAATGAAATAACATCAAACTCACAGCATCAAGGCATTTAAATCTTCTATTAACCTATTTATAAGTCAGTGCAACAATAGGTAATAATTGATATCATCTCTTACAAAACAGACCCACAGATACTATATATAAGGTTCAGAGGCCCGCATTAAAGGAATCTCTGAAATGAGATACAAGAATCTCTTGGAAATCACTAGGTCCATGACATTCAAGATGACAGCTCAGGAAATACAAAGTTGAGGGAAGGCAGATATAAAGCCGAGATGTTTGATATAGGTATGGCTTGTCTGTTGAGGGAGTCAGTATTGCAATAGTGCACTGACAAGCAAAACATAAGATAAGGTTGATATCATTTCTATAATACAATCAAGCTCTATAAGTGAACGGAGACAGAATGAGTTCTTTAAGTACTAGGTAGTATTAGGCAGAGCTAGGTACTGGGAAGTAAGGTAGTTCTAAGTGAGTCAGCTTTTATTTACTGACTTTCTATTATTTTACAAGCTCTTTAAGTTTGGCAAAGAGCAAAAGACAGTCTTTCTTTCAAAATTGTCATTGTTCATTCACATGGTGAGGCAAACGTGAGTAATTACACTGAGCTCAGAATGAAGCTTCTGGCATCATAAGTGTCCCCCAAAAAAGGAAGTATTAGACCTCTATAATATTGGAGACAGGGGCTGTCGTAGGGTGAAGAAAAACAATGTCCCACAAAGAATCAGAATTGAATTCTGAGAAGTTTTGAAGAAGAGAAGTTAATAGGGAGTTAGAAAAGTAGATTTTAAGAAAGTCAGGGTGCTGGTATAAAGGTGCCAATGCAAGAGACTGTACAAATACAGTGTTAGCAAGTGTATCAAAGGCTATAAAATGTTTGAGGATAAAGATTGCAAGACAAAAGAGGGAGAGAGAGGTTATGCATCTGTCTTACCTAGGAATGGAAGTGCATTTCAGAACTCACTTCCTACTTACCAGGAGCACAGACCTGGAAAGCATAACTGCATTCATGATCAAGGCTCAGAAAATGTGGCTTAGAATAAAAATAACAGCAACAAAGAAGGACGCCTGGCCTCTTCCCGGTGGCCCCAGTGTGGATGTGCACAGAGCATCCTGAAATACGTGTATTAAAAGGGCCAAACACAGATCCCTTTCTCCCGCCAGCAGCGAATACTCAGGGTGTCTCGCAGATGGGCCAACATTAATGTTGCCACTAAAGGAAAAGTGAAATAGTGAAAAGATCTCAAAAGTGAGACTTGGGGAAACATTTAAACCAAGATTACCTCAATGCTGTGTCAAGGAGAATACCACCTGGCAAGTGTTACTCTGAATGGCTTCCTTGTTCTGTTTCTCCTCTAAAGTGAGAAAATAGTTTGCATAGCAAGACAAAGAGGAGGAAGTGGTAAGAATGAGGAATATTTTCTCTCTCCCCTTTCTTTTTTTTTTTTTTTACATTTTATATTCTATAAAATCTTTCCCAGAAAGTCATAAAGAAATAGGAAATGTGGGGTCCTGCTTCATTTGACTAGAAAAAGGACTTTCCAAAGAACTTCTGGGTAACCAAGACCTTTAAAATTTGATAAAAAATATCAAAGAGAATGGTAGGAAGTGGCATGGTGCCAGTTACAGTAGCTATATTACCAAATTCCCTGGAGAGGAGAGGCTAGACGGATTTGTACTTATTATACATAGTAAAGGTAACAGTGGGCTTTTCTCAGAAACTGTCTCCCACATTCCTGATGAATTTTAATTCAGACATTAGAAAGTAACAGCTAAAATCAGAGGAGCCTGCCCCAGATGATTCTTAGTGTTACCTATTTGAAAGAGAAGGAACAAAAGCTTTTCCTTTGGAAATGGCCTTGTGCACCTTTTTAAAATACATTTCCCTAGTCTAGTGGAAATTTCTTACCTCAGCTACACAGAAAACTATGGCCTTCTCTGTGTGGTTTTTAAATCCTTGCTCAGCTCTTCCAAAGGAATGCAGGAACCCATGAAGAGCCATGCTTGGAGGACTCATGAGATGTGTCTGGGGGAGCAGAGGACAAGCCCCTGAGCCAGGTGTGAGTATTCTGAACAACCTTACACAAAACCAGGGTGACTGAATTTGAACCCAAACATTTCTTGAGTTCAGCTTGCAAGAATGGAGGATTTGTCTTATCTAATACTGGAAGATAATGTAGCCTTCTACACCATGTGGGGCCTGTAGAAGGTAGAGTCTTGATTGCTTTGCTGACCACGGCTTAGGTCATCGATTTGGCACTTTTCACTTGACCTGAAAGAAACATATTTTTAAATGAAATTTAATTAGCTTGAGATATGGAATACGCAAAAGCCGGTTTTTCAAACAATGGGCATGAAATACATCAGTATATCCTAGCCTGGATCAGCCATTAATTAAACCCTGGCACTTGGGTAAAGCCACAAGGACACACTTTTCACATACACGTTTTGCCTGTTAGTGTTTCTTAGACCACTGCCTAGAGGAACTCTGATTAAAATGCTGAACCTCTTTCATCTTCATTTCTCTATTGTAAAATAAAGGATCATTTCAGAGGTTCCATCAAGATCCAGCATAGCATCTTATGCTATGAAGATGCCTAGAGGGGACACCTGCAACATAAGGGACCTGAGGAGAGAGGTAATTCTTCTGCAGAGGTTAGGAGGGGGAAGGAGAGCTGCCAGCCAAGTTCAGTGATGGTGATGGACTAGGTAGGAAATGGATTGTCACTGAAGTCTTAATCACCTCTGAACCTCCTGTAATTTCCTCTCCCTCCAAACTACTTCATAAAGAAAGCCAGATTATCCTCCCTTACTTAGTCCCTCTTCTCTGTCACCCTAAAGGTCTGTATCTTTGTGTGTTTGAGGCAGGGCCTCAGACTAGCTAGCCCAGACTAGCCTCAAACTCATGGTCCTCCTGCTCCAGCTATCCGAGTTCTGGGATTATAGTCATACAACGTGTGTGTGTGTGTGTGTGTGTGTGTGTGCGCGCGCACATGGAGTTTGTACAGGTGCACCTATGTGTACTGTGCATGGGAATCCACATGCTTTTGGAAGTTACAGGACAACTTCAAGTGACCCACTTCAGGACAAGCCCACATTGTTTTTTGAGACAAAGTCTCTCATTGGCCTGGGCTTGCTGATTTAGCAAGTCTAGTCTGCAAGTGAGCCCCAGGGCTCTCTGCCTATGTCCACCACCCCAACATTGGAACAAGCACGTGGCATCCTACTCATCTATTTCAGTGACTTCTAGGGATCAAACTCAGGTCCTCATGTTTGTGCGGCAAGCAATTTATTGACTGAACTTTCTCCAGACCTTAAAGCTCTGTAATGGCATCCCACTGCCCATCAAAAAAAAGCTTAAAGCTGTCAGATTGTTTTTCAGTAGTTTTAACAAAAAGATCACAAGTTAACTCTGTGGCCCTATTTTCTGCCCTACCTTGACATGAGTACTACAATCAGCCAGATGGGAGCTCCCACCTCCTTAGTCCCTAATCTGAACCTTTCATCAGTAGCCTGTTCTTTCACTCTAAAATTGTCACTCTACCCTGGCTTCAGGGCAGCAATCCCTCCTGCTTTGGGTGCTTTCTCTTTGTTCTGTTGGGCCTCTCTGAAGTTCACCTTTCCGGGTATACATACTTTACTCACAATCTGTATAAGCAGCTGCTTGGGGGGGGGGAGAGACAGGGGATTCTCTAAAGACTTGTCTCCCTTCAAGGTACCTAAAGGGAGTGCCACCTACCTGCTCAGTAGACATAGTTACATAGATGGCAAGGATGAGCCCTCCTTATACCAGCTACACCAGCCTAATTGTCTCAACCTCTTAAGACCCACAACCCCCCTTGACAAACATCAAAAGCTTAAGCTTAGGTAATGAATCACACACACACACACACACACACACACACACACACACACAAATGCACACACACGGTGAACTTGAACTCCATGCCACACCATATTTTTTAAAAAGTAACCGAACTATATCACAGGATTAAAAATGCAAAAGCTATAAAACCCTGACCGAAAAACACAAATTTACATCTTGGTAACCTTGGGTTAGGCAGATATGACACTGACAGCTAACCAAAGGAAAGACAAAGATTTTGTGCTTTAAAAGATATAACCAAGAAAATGACAGACTCACGCAATCAGGCGGCACCATCTCTTAATAGGCAAAAGAGGAGTGGAAAGCTGGCTGCTAAATCGTGAGCCCTGTTACCTCACAGCACCACACATTATTCTGAGAGGACAGGACATTGTTGGCTCAGTGCTGTGGCAAAGCTGTTCATTAACTGAACCATAACACAGACAAGTGTCACCACATTCCTGTGTGGAGGCTGGAGGTTGGAATTTAATGTCACTCTTTCATCTTCAGCTGCAATTTGGATGTGCCAGTTTCTTCCTTCTTTCATAAGGTGGAAATAGTTCACATTAGAGCCTTTTGTAACTCAAGACAACACCCTGATTATTCTGGTCTGGAGGCATTTTGGAAACTTTCATTAAGTCTCCTTTGGCATTTAAAACTCCCCCCTGATTGACTTGGATGAGAGACCCACAAAATAAACCTTTCTTAGTATTGTGTGTCCAGCTCTTCCCTCATATTCATCCTTTCTTCAGCTCCAGGGAACACAGAGATGAAGTATATTTGTCAACAGTGGGTAGTGAGTGCCCTGAGGTAACCTCAAATTCATGAGCCTCCTGCCTCAGCCTTCTCAGTGCTGGGATTGCAGGCATTTGTTGCTATGTCCAGCTCAGAGTCATGTTTCTGATAATAGGCTTGTATTCAGAATATATGAAGAACTCTTATAACAAGGCACCTCAATTTTAAATTTTAAAATAATCAAAATGAATAGCTCTCCAGCATAATTCTACAAATGACCAATAAATGTGTGAAAAGATGTTTATAATGATTAGTGATCAGGAAATTCAAAACAGAGTATGATGTCACTTCACACCCATTAAGTGTGTTGAAGATGTTTTAAGGAAAAGAATAAACATTAACAATGGCATGCTATGTAGTCCATCACTGATGAGAATGGAAAACAGCTTAGCAGTTCCCCAGAAGGCTAGATGTAGGAGTTACCTATGACCCATACCAAAGGAAAATGAAAGCATATGGCAATAGACACAGTTCATATCAGCATTATGGCCCAAGAGTGGAAACCAAAATGTCCTCTGGTTGGTGAATGAATTAAATTTGTATCCATATAATGGAATTTTATTTACCAATATTAAGTGGTAAGGCATGTTACAAAATAAATGAACAAGATAAGCAGTATGCCAAGGGACATAAGCCAATCACAAAGGGCAAGTGCATGTTGTTATTCTTTTTATGAAGAGTTCAGAGTAACTATATCCAAGCTGGGAATATCTCACATCTGTAATCCCAGCACTTGACAGGATGAGGCAGGAGGCTTATATCAAGTTTCATACCAGTCTGGCCTACATCACAAGCTACATAACAAGACAGGGCTACATAACAAGACCCTGTGTCAAAAAAAACCCATAAAGATAGAAAGTAAAGCAATGATTATCAGGGCTTGGCAGGGAAGGATAGAAGGCTTCTCTATGGGGTAGCAAAAGGCCTAAAACTAGAAATGGTAATGATTACACAACTTTGTGAATATACTGAAAAGCACTAATTGGAGCTTTAAGAGGTGAATTTCATGAAAAGTTTATGACAATAATGCTGCCATTTTTAAAAATCTTAGGTATACTTGTCATTGAGATTCTGATGTGTGCATTTCTTCCAGTCTTTGGGTATCATTTCCACAGTGGTATCCCCCAACCAAAAACAGAATTATAATCTTTTCCAGACTCTGATACCCTGTCTCCCACAAGAGCATCCTCTTCTGGGTGAGAATCTCAGGTCAAAATTGATGGCATAAGCCAGGCAAGGTGGTTCCTGTAACCCAGCATTCATTTAGAATCAATGGCATAAACTGGGCAAAGTGTCACCTGAGATCCAAGCACCCAGTGGACACAGGAAACCTGAGTCACATAGCAAGACCCTATTTCAAAAGACTCAAAGGCAGGGCTGGGAAGGTCATTCAGTGGCTAAGAGGACTGGATGCTCTTGCAGGAGACCTGGGTTCAGTCCCCAGCATCTTTACTTCCAGTTCTGAAGGGTCTGACACCCTCTGACTTCTGAGGGCACCGGGATGGTTAAAAGTCATGGTGTATCAGAAAGAACAAAACTGAACTGAATTATTATATATCCTGACATTCAAGCCCAAAACTTACGTGGTGTGGACATTTTTGTGAGGATGGGAGCCACAATGTCCTCCAGTTGTTGTTTCTGCTCAAAAAGCTCACTGATGGAAGCTTCTGGATGGGTTTCCAACCACTCGTTCTTCATACGGCATGCATTGAGGAGAGTGTTCTGGGAGCAAAGACAGTGGATTTACTGCCACTTATTTATTGAAAAATAAGACTGAAGTATCGCTAGGGTCAGCAGGACAGCTTAGTGGCTAAAGGCACTTCTATCATGACCTGAGTTTGATACATGAAACCCACACAGTGGAAGGAGAGAACAGGTTTACCCACATTGTCCTCTGACCTCAACACACATGCACATGTGTGGATGCACACAGGCACACAACACACGCACACACACAGGCACATACACACTCACAGGAACATATACACACAATAAATAAATGTAATATTGTCTTTGCAAACTGAAGGATATGTTATCTGAACCCTTATGTATATTTAGCTCTTGGGTATTTGAAGGCTGGCTTGTGTGACTTAAGAACTAAATTTGAAATTAAATTTAATTTTAATTAATTAAAATTGAAATAGCATATAATTTCTGATTACTGGACTGTCTAACCATTAGAATAAGAAGTCTTGAAACTCACCATTGAACATCAAGAAACCTTAAACCAGTCTACTCTTTCTCCCTGATTCCGTTTTTATTGAGCCCACTTGATGAGAGAAGTGTTTGCAAAAGATTAAAAAAAAAAAGTAGGGGTAGAGTTATGGCTCAGCAGTTAAGAGCACTTACTGTTGTTACAGAGAACCTGAAGGCAGTTCACAACCATCTGTAACTTCAGTTCAAGGAGATCCTGCGCCTTCTTCTGGCCTCTATAGGTACTACACAAGTGCATATATGTACATGCTGATTAACACTCATGCACATAAAATAAAAACAAACAAGCTTTGGGGAAATGGTGGATGGTATGAGCTACAGGAAACTCAGTAAAAATAGCATTTTACTTCCTTTCAGTGGTGTGCTGGAAGAGGAAGTTCAAAAAGTTATATCAAACCACACACCCACACACATTCCTAGTGTCTTCTCAAAGACAATTCTCACACATGCCTCATGTGTACAGACAGAATGTGTCAGCCAGAAAAAATTAAAAGTACAAAAGTGTTTCTTACAGTAATATTTATAATAATGATTACAAATTAACAACCTGTTGATGTATACTTCCCATAGTGCTAAATAATAAGATATAGATATGGAGGCTTGCAAAAGAGACAGATTCGAGGAAATGTCCATAGGATACCCAAAGAGAATGAAAGCAAGTTACTAATAAGGGTAATCTATATAGTAGGATCCCACTTTTTTTGCAATAAGATCATCTTTACAAACCTCTATTATCTGTGTTTATGTAAATAAAGAGGAAAATTACACAAAATTGCTATCAGAAATCCAGGGTAATAAAACTGGAAATGAAAAGGGCATTAAGTTTGTTCTGGGCCACTTTTTTCCTAGTTAGTGGGGTGTACATATTACATTTTTATTGAAATTTAAAGGCTTTTCTAGTCACAGTTGACAAAGCACTGTTCCTTCATGGCGAGAGCCATGGGAGTTGCAGGTCCAACAGCCCTCGTATCTGCTCTCATCAAATGTTTTCCGTATTTCCCTTCACAAGAAATACTGTAAAGTTATTTATCAAGATACGAGTAATGGCTAACTGGGATTTTCATCAAATCATGTCAAAATAAATTCTCACAGATCCTACACAGCAGCACAAAAAGCAATTTAAAATCATTGCATATTTCTCATACCTGGAATATATTTAGTTTTTGGCACAGGTTCTTGTTAGTTAGTTCTGACTGGCCTGGTTTTCAGAGTGCAACCAGTCTTGCCTAGAACTCAGGGTAATCATCCTGACTCAGCTTCCCAAATGTTGGAATACAGGCTTCCACTATGCCCAGCTTATTGGGCACAATTTTAATATGTGCCAAATCAATATTTGTATTTTTTCTCATTATGGAAGATTTGATACACATAATATATACATATACATATGTACTAAAGTGTATCATGTATGTTTTATATAGAATTGAATATCAGAGGATTCCAACAGAAGAATAGAAAATTAACAGCTCCCAGTTCCTCCTCACCTCTCACTACCTGCCCCTGAGACCAGAGACCAAAGCATGCTTCTCCCATTGTAGTTTTACTATTAAAATAGATATATTTAGGAGGGTAAGCTTTCTAAATACCTTTGCAAGTTTTAATGGCTTTGTTTTTTCCAAATTTTCACTCAATACAATGTTCTAACATTCACCCATGTGGTCAGGTGAAATATTTTGTACATCAATTTCATTTCCTTTGTTTCATCTAATCTCTTATCAGAAGTTTACTAGAGAAGGAAGAGAGAGGGGGAAAGGAAGGAACGGGAGAAGGGCTGCAGAGCACAGGGAAAACTGTCTACCTCTAGAACATCAGGGCAGGCAATAATCACAACACGGTACCTTGTCTTCCTTGAGGAGTTTCCCTGGCCCCTTTTCTGGGTCAGTAATGATGAGAGAGGACTTTGTAATAAATTTTTTCAGAATCAGCCTTGCATCTGAAAGAACAGGACAGAAAAATGTAAAATAAGAAAAAGGGAGAGCAAGCTGCCCTTTTGTGCAGCCCATCACACAGCCAGAACTCAATGAGGTTTGTGTAGAGGGTCCACAGTCGCTGTCTTTGAGAAATTCAGGTAAAACAGCCCTCAAGGAAACATCACTTCAGAACACTCAGTGTGTCCCTAGAATTATGTTAGGATTTTTGAAGACACAAAGAAATATAAAACATGACACTGGGTGCCAAATTTACCATATCTGTGAAAATGTTCATCCTGGAGAAAAGAGCAACAAGAGAAAAATATTTCCGATAGGCAGATTGTCACTTGCTTCTCTTTTCTTGAGCTTACACACACACACACACACACACACACACACACACACATTTCAAAAATAGATTTCCTCTTTTAAAAAATCCTTAAAATACTTTCATTTACTTTAACACCATAGTCATCACACACACACACACACACACACACACACACACACACACCACAAGATCTGCTTAAAAGTATACTATGTTGAGAGAAATGAAAGCCTTAAATAAATAGAAGGGCTTACCATATTCTTATATAGAGTTACTGAATGCTAGAAATTATAGGTTAGTTCCAAATTATGTTAGACATGATAAAAAATAGTTTCCTGTGGCTGCTGTATCTATTACCCACAAATTGGGTGGGTTAAAACAGTTGGAATTCATCCTTTCTCAGTTCCAGAGGCCAAATTGCTGAGGCTGGTTCTGCTGACCTGCAGGCTCTGAGCAGAGACAAGGATCATCACTTTTTTCAACTTCACTGGCTGGCTGTGTTCCTTGGCTTATGGCCATTCCTCCATCTTCAAATACATCTTTCTGATCTCTGCATCTGTCACCAAGTTAACTCCTTTTCTGTGTCAAACCTCCCTCTGTCTTGGCTCATAAAAACACTGATTACATGTGGGTCCAAACTGGATAGCCTTCCCACTTATGGACTCCACAGATCTGCAACATCTCTTTTGCTATATGATATAGCAGTCACATGCTTCAGGGATCTGAATCTAGATATTTGTTAGCCATTACTCAGCCTTCTCTCTCATCCACTCACAATTCACATGCATCTCACAGGCAAAATACATCTACCCCATCCTAATGCCCCCAAAAGCTATGACCTAATCAACTCAAACCCAAATTCTCGACTAAATGATTATAGGGTGACACTGTATGTGATCTGTCCTAGGCCACAATTCCTCTCTATCTGTGGTCCTAGTGAGCTAGACACTATCTTCTTCCAACTCTAATGGTGGCACCAGCACAGAACACAGGCATAGACATTGCCATTCAAAATAATTCAAATCACAGCATACAAATTCCACTAGGTTTCAGACATGAGTATATCTCTTTACCCTATGGGCCTGTTTCTTTAGCCACTGAACCCAAGGATCCACCCACTAAATCATCTTCCCCTTTTTGTGAGTTATATCATTTAACCTGACCTGGTAGTTCAAAGCTATAATTCCAACACTTAAGAGGCTGATACTGAGCTGGGAGGTGGAGGTGCATGCTTTTAATCCCAGCACTCTGGAAGCAGAGACTGATGGATGTCTGTGAGTTTGAGGGCAGCCTGGTCTACAAAACTACATAGAGAAACCCTGTCTTGAAAAAATAAAAAAAAATAAAATAAAATATTTTTTTAAAAAAAGAGGCTGAGATTGAAGGATGAGATTGAAGGATCTGTGGTTTTAAAGCTAGACTGGGTTACATAGAGTTCCAGGACAGCCTGGACCTCATAGTAAGACCCTGGTTCAGAAGGAGGTGGAAAAGAAGGAATGAAGGAAGTGAGGCAGAAAGTACTTTTTATTTTGTCTTCTCTCCGTCTTTTTGTTTAAAATGGTGTTTCTATCAATGTAACACTGGCAAAGTCCTTGTGAGACTCCCTGCATATCACAGAGATTCATCCAGTCAGAAAGAGGCTCCTCCTGATCTTATGTGGATAATTTAATGTCCATCCTGACTTCTGAAGGATGGCTAGAGAACGCATAATACATACTCCCCAATAATTCATCAGCAAAAAGCTGCCTGTCCATATTGATGTCTTTCCCTCCAAACCTTATTTTCTTGATGGGGGCTCTCTTAACATTTAGTACCTACACTATTAATAGACTTTCTGCCACTGTAATAAAACAACTGAAATAAGGAACTTTAAAGAAAGTTTACCTGAAACTTGAGCCAAAGTAAACACAATGTTTTGTGTGGAAATCTCCCCATCTAAACATCCTAGTTCTCTCTCACACAGTCTGCCTCTCATGTGACAGCAGTATCCCAAGCAGCCAATCTTTCTGCTGCTCCGTAGCAAGACTTCACAACTTTTGGGAGGTTTTTGTTTGTTTGTCTGTTTTCATGAGGTTTCCTTATTATGATTGCATGCCTATTGCTAAATACATTTCCTGACCAAAAATTTTAGCAGATTGTTCATGAAACCTAGGGTGATTAGCTGGGTGCAAAAACCTGGGGTGATTAGCTGGGCGCAGCTTTTCATTCCAGTGCATTTTTAAATGATGTCACTGAACTCACCCCTGAGTCACTATGACTGACGATGTAACAATGATCATCCCTGTGTATTTTGCTAGGTGTGCTGGTCTGCCTAACAGGATTATCTGACAGGCCTTGACGGAAGCACCACATTAACCAGTGCTTGGGGCATTTTCTGCCTTGTCTGACCAATTTTTTACCTTAAGATTTCTCAGTTAAGACTAAAAGATGTCTAACCAAAGACTATCTGTGCTTTCTCCCCTGCTGTTCTTCTGTTTCTTCAGAGAGAGCTTCTGCATTTGTGATGGGACAACCTGGACAAAGGTCGGATGGGAGATTTTTCCAGAGGAAGTACACTACCTGAAAGTTAAGGCTCTTCCATCCCACTGTCTACCCTACCCTCTGGACAAACTCTGCTGCAACTTTGCTAACGTGGACTTAATCCAGGGTTCCTTACGCCTCATGTACATCCTAGTGCAAGCTCTCTTCTTAATCCTGTTTGTCTTATCTGTGCATTACCTATGGATGAAATGGACCAGGCACCAAAGAAAGGTGAATTTGTGATGCAAATAGGAGGAGTTGTAGGATCTCAAAGAGTGCACAGGGCAAGGTTATCCAGTTCTCTGAGGTTACCCTCCCCTGCTCCCCGCTCACCCTCCCCACTTCCGTTGTCTAGCAGTGTGGGGTACACTCTTCAGAGTTCCACAGTGGTGAATTTAATCAGAAGATCCTTAAACCATCTCTTCCAACTCCTATTTTCAAGTTACAAAACACACCAAAATGTTGAGATGCAGTAGATGTGGTTATAGGAAATGAGGCCACCTGTCTGTCCTTCTGAAAGTCATGTGTTGTTTCTCAGCCTCCTCATAAAATGATCTGAAATAAGGGGATCTCTTGGTTTAATTGGACTTTGTTATATAAAATTAAATAAAAAAAATATTTAAAAAAAGGGATCTCTTGGAAAACCTAAGATTCTATCAAAGAAAGCTCATTACAAAAGTTAGCATGAGCTTCCCAAAGGACTGTAAACTAATTTCTAAATGTTAGAATTTAGTGGGAAATGGTTTTCAATTCCCAATTTTGCCAATAGATGGCACTATAATTAGAGACAATGCTGCTGAATATGTGTGCACACATGCCTCCTTGACCTTCAAAATGATAGGACTAGAATCCAGATGCAGAGGGAGAGGACAAGACCAGGTTGCAGAAACACAGACAGCTGACCTGAACAAGGAGGAGCTAACGGGCCCCCAGACTGATAGCTGGGAATCCAGCATGGGACTGACTCAGACCCCCTGAATATGGGTCTCAGCCAGAAGGACTGAGCAGTCTAAAGGACCTCAGACAGTGGAACCAGGATGTATTCCTGATGCACAAAAGGACCTTGCAGACACATTCCCCATGGAGGGATACTGCCTTAACCTAGAGACAGGAGAGAAGTCCTAATCCCTACTTCAAATGACTTGACAGATTTACATGACCCCACCTGGATGGTATTGCCCTACATGTGGAATTGGGGTGGGGGGATGGGAGGGGAGGGTGGTCAGGGTGCATGTGAGGGGGGGAAGAGAGGGAGAGGGAACTTGGATCGACATGTAAAATAAAAACTAAGTAATTAAAAATTTTAAAAATATTACTGTATTAGATAGTGATCTTAGTAATGGAAAATATTTTTCATCTGTTTGATTCTGGGAATTGAACCCAGGGCCTCCTACATCCTAGGTAAGCTTTCATTTAGGAGTAAGGGCTTATGAGCCCCTTCCCACTCCACCAATAAAAGGTGAATTGACTTGATCTTGTGCAGGTGTTGTGCAGGCAATCACAAGTGCTATAAAGTTTGTGAGTGCAGAATTCCTGTCATGGTCAGGAGATAATGTTTGTCTCTGGTCCTCCCTGGTCTCTGGATCCTTCAGACTTTCTGCCCCTGTCTTCCATGATGCCTGAGGGGTGGGGGTGTGATACAGATGTCACATTTAGGTCTGTATACTCCAGTCATTTATTCCCCATGTTTTGACCAGTCATAAGTTTCTACATGAACTATTATCCACTGCACAAAGGCATTTCTCTGATGCGGTCAAAGAGTTTCACAAATCTACATGTAGGAGATCCAATTTTAGAGTGCAACTGAGAAAACTAATATTTGCAGGTTCACCAATGAGACCTGTGAGCTCTGCACTCACGGGTTCTCCGCCAGATGTGCAGTAGCAGGCATGTGTTTACCCCTGTAGAGCAGGCCATAAATGGCACTTGGTTACCCTTGTAATACTTGTGCCACATTGCACCCATGAACACATCTTGCCATGCCAGTCACTCCTGAAGTTCACAGGGTTGACAGCTGGGTAAGACGGGGACAGCATGTCTAGCACCTTCCAATACCGTGGGAGCTAGTCTGCAGGGAGGAAGCCATCAGGTTAGAACTGACTCAATTTCTCCATGTCCTGAAGAAAAACATCCTAATTTCTCTTGGGAAAATGTTCTCACCCTAGAAAACACTAACCAGTGTTTGCTGAAGGTAACAATGATGCTGGAGGTAACAATGATCAATCTAGTCTTGCTTTGTTCATTAAAGAAGAGCATCTGTCTGTCCTTCAGTCTTCTATAGTAACCTTCCTTTTCATATAAACGTGTGATATAAACATCTTAGTGTTTAAGTTTGCTTATCCAGAATATAAGCTTACTTTGAAATAAGACAGAACTCATTTGTTTTGCTCTTTCAGCAGAAAAAGCAAGCCTCTCTAGAGAAACACAGCAGTGACCTAGAGAGTGCATCCATCTACGACATTGAACAAATACTCTGTAGACTGCTGGCCACAACATCCATGATGACCAAGTTCCTGAAGCAGGTGTCCCAACATTCTTCCTTTAAGAAATTAAAGCAACAACGTAAAGTAAAGAGGAGGAAGAGCAAAGGAGGAGAGGAGACCAAGGATATGAAATCTAAGCATATGCAAATGTAACTCAGTCAAGTGCAGAAGAAATCTATTTCCAGGACTGTCTGAGAATGAAAGGTTTCTTTGGGAGCTGGCGTAGGGTTCTTTTTTTTTTGCCACAACCTTCAGTGGAAAATTTTCAGACAAGTCTGGCTTTCCACTCAACTGAAAAAGAACCCACACTTACCAATGTGGCTCCCAGAATAAAATGAAAACACCTTAACCTGATGTAAGGGTACAAGCTGGTGGTAATTATAGCAGCAGCATTTTTTTTTCCAGCCTGGCAATTTTTTTCAACATGATAGGTAGCTGCTATGTGCTTAACACTGTATTATTTTGCTTTCACAAGTCTCAAGAGGAAGGATACATTATTGGCCCCTTTTTCCAGAAAATGAAACTCAGCTACAAAGAACTGGAGTAATCGGCTCACGCTCATGTAGGATTCAAACCTAAGCATCCTCCAGGGACCGTGTGCTCACCCCCTTCACCTACACTCTCGATTGTCTATGGAAGCCATGACATAGGCTCCAGTAAGGCAATCGTGTCACTTTCATTCCCAGATCTAACATTCCATTTATGCTCTTAGTTCTGCTACTTTATATTCAAATACCATTCATTTGGCAAGACCCAAGTGAACTCCCACAAGCTGGCTTCCTGATCTCTACCTCAGGGCATGGACTGCCTTTCCTGCCAATTTTTACCTTTAACCTTTCTCTTTGTACTCACATCTTTCTGATACTGTTAAATAAGTGTCAAATGCCTTCTAGAGGATGGTTCCTCCTTAAAAAAAAATGTCCAGATGGCAGAAACAACCAGTTGTGCCTACAACAATATTAGCATATTCAGCAGTGGGCATTCCATAAAAGCTTGCTCAGCACATGCACGCAGCTAACCATACAAAAAGGTTTGAAGTTTATAATCCCACACGGCAAGTTACACAGGTGTGTCTTCCTAAAGGTGTTTCAAACTGTATTTTACAGATATTGAGGATGATAGAGAAAAATGTGAGCAAAATTCAAGGTAGTACATAGATTTTTGGACTCTGTTGAAAAGGAATATGCATAAAAGACATAAAATTCTTTAAGAAATCCATAAACAAAATAGTCATGTAACCAGGGACCAAACTGAGAAAAACAACAGATCTCAGAAGTCCTCCCATGCAAAAGAGTAATTGTGATTTGGGCCACTAGCAACATAGGTTAACTTTTCCTAGGAAAACATTTTTTCATTATCAGTAACAATTTTTCTCTCTGGAGAGTCAAATATATTACCAAAATATGCTAACATTTAAATATTTAAGAAATAGTGTACTTTGCCTAGGTCATTCAGAAAACAACCTTGAGCATATACTGCATGCATCATTCCATGGAAATGTATTACTTAAGTTGTTACACGTTGATAAATCAACAACAACAACAACACACACATATACACACGTATGTCTCAGAAAACAACCTTGAACATATATTGTATGTATAATCTCATGGAAATGTATTGCTTAAATTGTTAGAAGTTGGTAAACCAAGAAGACATAGAAAGAAAGAGAGGAGATAGAGAAGAGAGACAGTTATAATTAAGAGCAATGCTTCATGGTCAATAGCAAAGTGAAAGAGAAAAAAAATTACAATAGAAAGTACAGCATCTATCTGGAAGGTAGAAATGTTAATCACCTCATTCCATGGCCTCAATCATTTTAACAATACTTGTGCTCCTTACCTGCCCAGTCCAGAAAAAGAACACACTCAGTCTGAGAATAGCGAGCCGCAACATCTCGTGCTTTCTCTCCCCGGAAGTTCAAAGCTTCTATATCAACATCCAGTTCCACCAGGGCCTTCAGAGTTTCCAGACGGCCCCAGGCTGCAGCGCAGTGTAAGAGCGTGTACCCTATCAGAGTGAAGATGGTCAGGTCAAACAGACTTAGGAGGGCTTGACAGGGTCTTTATCTGTACGATGGTTAAAAAAAAAAAAAAAAAGGCATTCATATTCTGCAGAAAGCACACTTGAAACTTTGATGTTCAGTCTTTTCCAAGGCTAGTGATACATGTTCCAGTATGCTGATACACTGATACTGTACAGCCTACAGCAAGCAGCAGCTCCCAGGCAGCCATGTAATCACAGGATATGCAGTTCCCAGGCATGTCCTCAGCTATAGTGTTATACACTTTGATGACCAGGCTAGCTATGTTAAATGCATGTTTCTGCTTACGGTCCATTGGGTCATGATTTCAAGTCAAGGTACATCTGTGTATTATTCCGGACTATTTTATGTAGCAGATCATAAACATAATCAAGTACCAATTGCTACAAGCCAGGCACTAAGTGTTCTGCATAGTAAATTCAGTGAATTTTAGTGACACTATAGCATCAGAATTATTATAATCCTCATCTTACAGACAAGGAAACTAAAATTCAGAGATGCTCAGAAACCTGGCTCAAGGAACACAGCCAGTAAAATGATGGATTCAAGATACCAACGCTGGCAGCTTAACTCCTGAGCTCCTCCACAACAAAAAGATGGCAACCTTCCTAGCAAGTTGTCCACTTTGGAACTACAAGCCTATATGACTTTAAGGAATTTTCGTCATACTCTGACTACTCTAGCTTTACTGTTAATCTAAATCACTATCACTGTGTATGCTTTCGTTTGTAAATTAATCTTTTGAATTAAAGCTGAAAGTATGACTTGCCAAATTAGAAAAAGTAATTTCTTGAACTTACTGAGGTACAGCAGTAAAGGTGGAAACATGAGTTTTTTCCACTGCTTTGTATAAAAATCAAAGATCACGGTCATTCTTCTATTGTTTTGAGAGGCCTCAGTTAAGCCGGGGAGCCAGGGCTAAGGACACACCTTTGTGACATAGCTCTTGCCTAACATGCCCAAAGTCCCAGGTTCTAGAAAGCAATTAGAAATTATCTCAATTGGGGTTTCAACACAAAAACTTACTATCAGGACTCACTAAAAGAACTTTGGAGTTGGGGGCTCACAGTGTGCTTGTCACAAGCTCCATACTATGCACAACCAGGAAGTCCCTCACGCAGGGGACATGTACACTGGTGGGTGGCCTGGGCTATCATTTGGCCCATATCCAGTGACTCCCTGGCCAACACTTGTCTTAAGAACCCAACCTTTCCAGCAGAGCTTTGACACAGAGAAACCCTGTCTTGAAAAAAAGAACCAAACCTTTCATTCTAGAAGCATGCAGGAAAACTCTGGCTTTAGGCAGCCTCTAGTTTGTCAGAAATTGCAGATTCAAAAGATCATATATTACCCTGAAAAGGGAAACACTTTCACTTACAGACCCTGGCCAAGGGAAAGTGTGAGTCAGTCCTTTGTTCACAAGACACTCAACAAAAAAAGTGTGGCAACTGGTGACACATATAAGGGGATAGATTGTAACTTTAAATTTGTGCAAATTCCAAAATGGCTCATTTAAAGAACACACACACACATATGCACGCACATGCACTCACACACACATGCATGTAAACTGCTGGAAGAGGAGATGTTGCTAAACTCTTATCTCTGGCCATAAGCCTGACCCATTTGGATGTAGTGTAGACTGGTACCCAGGGTGACTGAGTCATGCTTCTGGTATGAGAAATTTCAAAAGAGAAGCAAAGTTGATATAAATTGTAACAACTCACTACACTTACCCCTAAGAATAGACTTAATGACTCCTTTAAATAGCCAAAGAGACAAAAAGATCTGAGCAAGAATGAATGTGTTGAAACTCTGTATGTCCTTCATTTAATCACTGCAACAACCCTATGAACCTCACAAGGACCAGTGCATTCAGACCTCATCCTCATCCTGACTTAGCACTGGGGACTGGTATTTCAACTATATGTAAGGAAACTGAAACACAAAATGCTGCTTCTAATTATAGAGTGTGACCATGATAAATTCAACTCTAAGAACTGAAATGATGAAAGGCAAGACCGAAGAAAGAAACCATTTCTATAACTAAAAAGACAATGACTAACATGAAAAATAAAGTGGTAACACACTTGTTCACTGGTTCACAGGTTAAGGCTCTTGCAAAGGATCCTAGTTTCATTTCCAATGTCCAGGTCAGGAAGTTCACAATGGCTTTTAACTCCAACTCCAGGGGATCTGGCGCCCTCCTCTGGCATGCACAGACCACTGCAATCATATGCACATACTACACACAGACACACACAAATAGTAAAAAATAAAAATAAACCTTTCTAAATGGAGAAAATATAAAACTCAGCAATAGAATATTGCTATCTTAGGTTACTACTGCTGTGATGAAACACCATGACCAAAGCAACTTGGAAAGGAAAGGGTTTATTTGCTTACATTTCCATATCATTGTTCATCATCAAAAGAAGTCAGAACAGGAACTCAAACAGGGCAGGATCCTGGAGGCAGATGCCATGGAGGAGTGCTGCTTACTGGCTTGCTCTTCATGGCATGCTCACCCTGCATTCTTTTAGAACTCAGGTCCACAAGACCAGGGATGACACCACAATGGGCTAGGCCCTCCCCCATTGATCACTAAGAAAATGCCTTACAGGTTCTACCTGTAACCTAATTTTATGGAATCAGTTTCTTGAGGTTCCCTCCTATCAGATGACTTTAGCTTGTATCAAGTTAACATAAAACTATCCAACACATAGACACACAAAGAAAAAATTGAACCTCAGTACTATACAAATCTTCAAAGACTATAACAGAAAATAACAAAGGATATGCAAAACAAACAAAACAACTAACAAAATGACAAGAGTAAATAGTTACATATTGATAATAAGCTTTAATGAAAATGTCTCATAGTCCTTATTTAAATATACAGATTAAACTTGAAGAAATCATCCTGAATGACATAACCCAGTCACAAAAAGAGGAACATGGTATGTACTCACTTATATATGTATTTTAGACATACAGCAAAGGATCACCAGCCTATAACTCACACTGCCAAAGAAACTAGGATACAAGGAGGATTCTAAGAGAATCATATAAGGTCCCTCACAGAAGGGGAAAGGGACAAGATCTCCTGAGCATATTGGGAGTGGAGGGGGACAGTGAGTGAAGAGGGAGCTAGGAGAAAGAGAAGGGGAGGAGAGGAAAACATGTAGGACTAGGAAGTCAGGGGAGAAATAAAAGACAGGAGAGAGAGAGAGAGAGAGAGAGAGAGAGAGAGAGAGAGAGAACATAAAAGAGGGAGCCATTATAGGTTCAAAGAGAAAAGTGACTCTAGAGAAATGTCCAGAGACCTACAAGACTGACTCCAACTAACAATTTGAGCAACAGTGGAAAGGCTACCATAAATGCCTTTCACTGATAATGAGATTGATGACTAACTTTTCCACCACCATAGAGCCTTCATCTAGTAGCTGATGGAAACAGAAGCAAACACCCACAACTAAACACTGAGCCGAACTGGAATCCAAATGCAGAAAGGGAGGACAAGACCAGGCTACAGAAACACATAGAGACAGCTGACCTAAACAAGGAGGAGCTAATGGGCCCCCAAACTGATAGCTTGGAATCCAGCTTTGGACTGACTCAGACCCCCTGAACATGGGTCTCAATTAGAAGGCCTGGGAAGTCTAAGGGACCTTGGACAGTGGAACCAGGATGTATCCCTTTGGGACTTTGGGAGCACAATCCCCATGGAGGGATACTCCCTTAACCTAGAGGCAGGAAGGAGGGCCTAGTCCCTACTCCAAATGACTTGACAGATTTAGATGATCCCTCCTGGAAGTCATCACCCTACATGTGGTGTGGGGGATGGGTGGGAGGGGAAGGTGGGAGGGAGAAAGGGAGGGTGGGAGAGAGGGAAAGAGGGAAGAAGGGAGGAAGGGAGGGAGAGGGAACAGGGATCGATATGTAAAATAAAAATTAAAAATAAAAAGAAACATTAAAAAATACAGATTAAAAGGCAGGGAAAACAATTGGATGGCATTCCCCTACATATGGAATTGGGGTGGGGGGATGGGAGGGGAGGGTGTTTAGAGTGCATGTGAGAGGGCAGAGAGGGTAAAAGGGAGGGAAGGAGGGAGGGATGGAGGGAGGGAGGGAGGGAGGGAGGGAGAGGGAACTGGGATCGACATGTAAAATAATAAATTAAATTTTAAAAAAATGCTTTGACTCCAAAATTTAAGTTGAAGGACAAGTTACTAGGGAAAAGGATTTCTATTTGTGTTTCCACAGAAAATGAAAAGATGTGGATTCCTTCCAGACTAATGTGGTTTGATCACGCCAGACCGCCTGAAACAGAGTACAAGGTGATCCTACATTCAAAACAGCTGGACAAAGCAGCCTTACAGACTACAGCCAGGATTTCTGAATCTTCTTAGAATCCCCCATGACAGCGCCCCTTACCAGCAGGAAGTAGTTTGGAAAGAACGACGCCAAAATTCCCAAATATTGTGTATAAATGTTTGTTTTCATTTAATTGAACTTTGTTATATAAAATAAAATAAAATAATAAAATAAAAAAATTAAATTAAATTTAAAAAAATAAAAGGCAGGGAAAAGAACACTCATCTGTATACTGCCTGTAACAAACTCACCCTAACTGATAAGGCATATAGACTAGACAGTAGATGATAGAAAAGAGGTATTTCCTGCAAATAGAAAATAATACCAAGCAAAGGTAACAATATCAGATAAAACCAAGCTTTTAGTAGTCAAATTTCAATTATCGTAATGATTATGAAAGGATTAGCTTATAAAGAAAATAAGTTTTATTGGGCTCAATTTTGGAGGTTCTTCTACTGTACAATGAGGGGCTGGCAAGATAGATCAGTAGGAAAAGGTGCTTGCTGTACAATCCTGATGACCTGAGTTCAATCCCCAGAAACCACATAAAGGCGAAAGGAGAGAACCAACTCCACAGTGTTGTTCTGACACCAATGGGTGCACTGTACACACTGAAAGCTACCAACTGAACTACTGTCAAACCCCTGGCCGCTCAATCTCCTAGGGTAGGACATTACACTAGTTTTTTTTCTAACTTTATAACCAATATTTCATTCATGGCATAAACACAAATGATCAATAAGTTTGGGTTTAAGAAAAAATTAATTTAAACTGGGCAGTAGTGGTGCACGCCTTTAATCCCAGCACCTTGGAGGCAGAGGCAGGAGGATCTCTATGAGTTTAAGGCCAGCCTGGTCTACAGAGTGAATTCCAGGACAGGCATTAAAGCTACAGAGAAACATTGTCTCAAAAAACAAAAAAGAAAAAAGAAAAAAAAAGAAATTTAACTGTTCATTTTAATTTTAAAAATTAAAAATTTTGAAATAGTTATGCAATAATGTATAAAGCTGGCGCATCACACTTATTCGATAACAAAACTTCAAGGTACATCTTTAGGGTGGTCACAAATGATAACTGATGAAAGATGAAATACCTCTGGCAGTTTTTTCATTCAGATTCACTCCATACTTTGCCAAGGCTCTAATTACATCACTTTTCCCAGCCATGCATGCTGCATACAACAGGTTTCTCCCAACAATGTCTTCTTCCAGAAGCAGCTGCACAGCGTGCTCATGGTGGGGATGTTCAGGATCCTCAAAAATCTTCTGCAAACCTTCTACATCCCCCGTGAGAGCTGGCTTCAAGAGGGGGTTCTCCAAGCCTGTTTCCTGTGCTTCTTGGGATTCTTCATATTCTTGCTGGGAAGAAAATACTGACTTTTCTGAATCCTCAGTTT